GACATTTTTAAATGACGTAAAGTCGGCTATGTTACGTAGATACAAATTCTGCTGACAGAATAGCTGGTTTTGATAATCAGTGCCAATAAGAAAAAAACTCTTCGGGAAAGGATAGATCATGACGTAGAAAATCTGGCTTTGCTCTGTGGGGGGAACAACTTTAACATTCTCAATCGTTGAGGTGAGGAGAAAGATGGTTTGGCCTACAGTTTGGCGCAGTCTCCTTTAGCCTAACAGTGTTGCTTCGACCTTGTCTTCGTAACTGTATCGCAACTTCAGGTAGACCTTGTGGGACGTACCTAATCCTGTGTCCTCTGCCATAGTATTCGTGATGTCCAGCATCGAACTATTGACTTGATACATTCCCAAAACGTTTCGCAGGCATTATCAGTGTGAGGTGCAATCGCCTTCTCTTGACTTCCCCTCCTCCCCCATGAGCCACTCCTTGGTGATGTCTATTCCTGTTGTTGAAAAGTTGTCCTGGCTGCCATCATCGGGACAGAGTTACAACTTAACAAAATTACAAATCAAGGCAGTTTCCTTGACCAATTTTCTGTTTAATCGTCGTGGCCCTACTCCTCGACTGTTTTTTTTTGTTATAACTTCTACTGCTGCATCGCTTTCTCTCAACCACATTTCACATGGAATGCATGAATACCAAGATGGTGTGGACTTTTGTGTTATCACAGTCTCCTTTCGTTGGATAGAGGTTGTTTGACCTTGTTTTCGTAACATGGTCATATTGGTCCGGAGTCCATTGTCTGCATGATCACTTCCAAAGTTGAACCGTGGACGTGGGACATTCCCATTTCACATGGCCCATCAACCTATTCACACCATTCTGTGCTCTGGTTTCCTCCAATGTCGCCTAAAGGTTTGTACCTACAAATGGATTTAAGGAAGCATAATCATCTCCACCACCGGTACCAGCTTTCGTTTGCAGGGCTACCGACCTACAATCTCGTACCACTCGTGTCAAGTGATCGCCGCCAAACTTCAAAATCACTCTGGCTCTCTGAAATCTGGCTGCCTAAAAGCATTCGATAGCCATCCCAGATTACGCCATTGTCGATGATTTAGAGCAGATGATGTCCCTGCCGATGCCGATACCGATGCCAGTGTCTGGAACTCTTCCTCTCACTAGGATTCAAACCCATGACTCGATTAGCCTCTCCCTCATTCCCACCCACATTGTGGCTTATTCTTTGGAGCCCTGTGTCCGGGTTAAGTCATAACCGCAGGTGTGAAAATGCACCACTTCCATTTGTTCCTTTGAATAGCAAAAAACATTTCTCTCGTCTCTCAAGTTGACACTCCCATCTAATTGTTGAGCTTACTTTCATTTCGAGTGAAAGTGTTGGGTGAAGAGATTCGAAGGTCGGTTCCACCAGAAAACGACGGCGGATTCCTCTTGACCAGTTGTCGATTGGCTTTGCTGGAAGATTCATGCTGATGCTGTTTCCGAGGCAATCTATTTCGATTCCGGTGAAAAGGTGCTAAGCTTTCGTACGCTCTGATGATGTCCATCATATGACTGACGAAAGCTTAGCACCTTTTCACCGGAACCGAACGAGATTGCCTCGGAAACAGCGTCAGCATGAATCTTCCAGTAAAGCCAATCGACAGCTGGTCAAGA